CAATCACGCCTTAAGGGATTGGCAACTTGTTATTCGTCCATAAAATAAAAAGTTGAGTTTTTTTTCTTTCGATTCGTTTATCAGAGCGGAAGGTAACCCCGAGTCATCATTAATTCATCAAAGTTTCCCCCTCTTCCCCGAGAGGGGTGGGTGGATGGGCGGAGGCGAGAGACCGAGGTGGAGACAGAGGGGGCGAGAGCACAAGCTGACAACACTCCAGCAGAATGAGAGCAAGATGCACGAGCATGCCGAAATAAATATTGCAGATTCCCTCTTCAGAAACTACCAGCAAAGCAAAACAGTAGTGAAATGAGGAGCTTCTATTCTGGGCGTTCTGAATGTCTCTGGCTGTGCTTGTATCCTCAAACTCATTGACCGCGATACCATAAATTGTGCGCTTCTAGAACTTCCTTGTTTACCTTCCTTATTGCTCTTCCTCGCTCCGTCGTTTCCTTCTTCAGCAATTCTCTGTGACATGTCGCCGGTCTTGCCATGACGGAGAGCCTCTCCCGCGTAGACCTGGGCCATTCCGCCAAAATAAACCAAACAAACACCATTCCGAACTTGTCCAACCTTTTTCAGTTTTTTGCGGGTTTTCTGTACCCGCCGAGCGTTTATTGTTCTCACCGGAAGTTGGCGGGGTGTTTGGCGGACTCTAAGAGAGAGTAGGTAGTATTTTGCGTCAAAAGATGCCTGATTTCCCTTACGGGCGGGGAAAAGTTGCGGTGCAGTGCCGGTCGGTCAGCTTTGCCGGGCCATCTCAGGCGCGCCCGCGTGGCCGCACTCCTCCCCTGATGGATGGCCAGATGGACGCGAGGCCGAATGGCGGCGCCTTGGGTCGTCTTTCTCTCGAGCGCACCTCTCCTCCTGTGTGATGTCTTGGCCAGACGCTGCTTGGCCCCCTGATGCTTGTGCTGCCAGAGTGCAGCTGTGCTGGACTGCTGGCCTCTCTCCCTCACTCTGTCTTTGTCTTTCTCTGGCTCTTTTCGCTACCCGTCTTTCTCTCTCCCTCACTCTCCTCCCCTCTGCGTGTGGTGGCGCTCAGGGTGGAAAAGGCAGCGTAGAATTAGAACACCATAAAACCTCCCAGGAGAACTAACTGCGACGCTCGGCCGACCGCGGTCTGCCCCGACCCCCTTGGCCGCCATGCGGAGTGTATGGCCTGCTAACGGGGGTCGAGCTCGCGATAAGATGATCCCACGATAGTCTGCTCCCGGCATGTATACTACTTGTGAGGGTCTCAGGGAAAATTTAACGTTTGGAGCAGTTTGGCCAAGCAAGGCTGTCCCCGACGTGTGTCCCGGTCCGGCAAGGGTATTCCGCTGGGTTAACCCGAGCATAATTCTGCCCTCCTGGCGCCACCTTCCAGAGTAGTGGAGTATAAGCCTTCTCCTTTTGTCGTGGTCCGCCATGGTATGGCGCTGGGTGCTGTCCTGGCACTGGCGCCCTGTCCTAGAGCACCCCCTGGAGTAAAGCCTTCTCCGTTTGTCGTGGTCCGGCAGGGTATTCCGCTGGGTGCTGCCCTGGTGCCCCCTCCTAGAGTACCCCCCTGGAGTAAGGCCTCTCCGTTTGTTTTATTTTTCCGGGCTGTGATGGCCGGCCTTTACGTCCATTTTATTGGCGTTGGTCGTCTGCTACCTCCTCCCACCTCCCTCCTACACCCCTCCTTCCTCTCCTGCTCTTCAACTCGCTCAGTCATCTGAGATAGTTCGTCATCGATTTTCTGCTGGTCATTTTTTTGTTGCGTGCGACACATGCTCTCTGCTCGGTATTTCATATTTGCCACTTAAAGCATTTAGTTTCTTTTCAAGAGTTTAGTTTTCTTTTTACGCTATTGCCGTGCCGAGGCCTAAGTGGCGACAGCCAAGGACACTCGGCTCAACAGTTGGCGTCATGTCGATGCTGGGAGAGAACTCCCGGTTAATTTCGTGCTATAGTTAACGATACGATCTCACGCGGTCGGCGTCCCAGCAAGCCAGAGGTAAGCGGGCACCCGACGATTTGCGGTAAACTCGAGGCCTAAGTAGTGTCGTGTCCTGTTTGAAACTCAACAAAACCGGGGTTTATATTTTGAGTAGTGTGGTGCTGGCAGCAGTGCAAGTGGCCTAATGACGCATGGTCTGCTGAGGTTGACTTAACGATGTGCAAGCGCGTTGCCAGAGCCCCGACATGGGATCCAGATTAGCGCGAACGAGCTCTACCTCTGACATCAATAATTTCTCTCCTCCCCCTCCTGCCCCTCATCCCTCAGCCAGATGTGCGAGCGGCTCGCCAAACATGTGCCGGCTAAAACATCATCATCGTCTGCTCTCCATTCATACACACCCCGCCGCTGCTCGTCGTACGCTCGGGAGGAGGAGCAAGCGAGCGGCGCAGCTCCTACTTTTACGGCTGCAAACACGTAAAGTGCGCTTGGGCGTACGCCAAAATATTGAAGTCCCGCTCAAGGAGGCTGGCGTGCAGACAGAGTGGCACGGAGGATGTGCACATCGGGAATGTGCAGTCTCGTCTCGGGGCCTCCGCAGAGCCTCGACTGGGCGGGGTCGCGTGGGCGAAGTGCACGAGAGAGCGACTGGGAAGCCTTCGCATTTCTAGAAATGCTGTCGCACAACCTATGAGACGAGTATGAGGCAGTGGCGGAGCAGGCTGACGTTGCGGCCCTCCCCCTCCCTCTCTCAGCTACAGATGCAGAACATGACGGTCGCGTTTGTCCTGCCAAAACTGATTTTTCTGCCCCCTCCCTCACGACTCGCTCCTGACAGTGGCCCGACGCCGACAGCGGCAGGGTGAGTTACCACCCTGCCACCGGTATTCCTCCTCCTGATGCAGCCGAAGACAGATCACTGACAGCCTGGCACCTGGCCAAACCCCCCTGAGAGGCGCCCGTGCCTCCCGGTGCAGCCCCGCTCGAAGGCGAAGGCCGCTGCGCGGCGGGCCCCCGCCGATAACACGCACATCCGCCTCTCATAGCGCCATAGCGCCTGCTACTTTGTGTCGCCTCGCTCGCTGCTAAAGAAAGTCCAAATGGGCGGCTGCGCAGGCAGGTCTGCCGGCGCCGGTGGACCCGCCGCGGCCCCGCCGTCCGCCGCGGCCGTGCGACTGGTTTACTGGGTGACTGGGTGCGCGCGCGCGCGGTGCTGCTGCTGCAAGGTTGCCAACTGCACAGCGAAAAACACACACGACGCACGCGTCCCCTCCCTCCTGCGCCCGCCCGCCGCCCCGCCAACCTCGTGGGCCCCCGAGTGAGAGACGAGGCGGGCGCTTCGTCGCTTCAAGTACTTGGTGGGGGAAACTTGTGGAAGTTAGAAGGGCTTCATCCACTTTAGCATGTGACGTGGCTGGGTTTGCTTGGAGGTAAGGCGATAGCACGTGGGGGCCTTCCCCGCTCCTCCCTCCAGAGGGCCCCGTCAGCCCCGCGCACTATACTCGGAATATGGCGATCCTGCCGAATCTGGTCTGGCGTAAACTGGCCAACGTGATGAGCACCGTGTTTGGGTCACCGTTTTAAGTGCGGCTGAACACACATACTCTCTCTCGCTCTCTCCCCGTCACTCCGTTTGAGGGTTTACTGGTGTTTATTGTGCTTCGGTTCAAAGTGGTTCCCCGATTTGGACCGCAGATAACTGTCACGGCACACACTGGTCAAGGCCTTTCCTGATCGAATTGTACCGAGTAAGGTACACAATTTTGAGGTACAAATAAGTACTGTAGCCTTTAACATGGAGCCCTATGGATACCCGTAAGAAAGTACAATAGTCATGTACCCCGCCTCCATATTTGCATTTGGTGTACTTTGGTACAATATTTTTGCCAGTAATGCCCGTCGATTATTCGGTCCGATAATCTGCGGTTTAGTTTGCCGGGTAGTATAGTGTGTAAGGGCGCCCGCGCTTCAGTCCGAGTGGGGTCCGGGACGGCCCGGGGGCGGCCCACGGCCCGGGTCAGGTTTCGGAGTGTCCTCGCCGCTCCATTTGGTGAGGAGGAGCCCAGACGGGGCGGGCCGGGACGGGACGCGCGTTCACACGCGGCTGACGGACTTTTGCGATCGGGGATATCGCGCAAGTAGGAAGGTCTCGGGCTTCCGGCTGCATGTGAGTAGCCCGCCAGACGCGCTTCCGCCGTGTTGATAGCTGCGGAATGTAACCCCGGGCCGCTCCACACACAGTAGTGCGCACATCCCCCGGCCGTAAGCCTTTCCCCAGCCACACACCATATCCGGCTGCATATCTGCCCGACTGCGCGCCCCCGGACCCGCCCTAACCTCTATAATCCACGAGTAATTTGCCAGAAGTTAGTTGGCAACACTACTTTGATAACGGGGATTGCGCTGGGGACGCCCCCGCCAAAGTTTGCTCCATACGCACAGCAAGGCCGTAGAAAGGGACCCATTCAAATGGCGACCTTCCTCTATTAAAAAATAGTTACTGTGTAAAAATCACTTTTTTTTGCGATTTTGATTTTTTTTAACGTGTAGGCCACGGGTTGCCTTAGTCATCACCAAACTGTCTGCTGTTTCGGGTCATAGCTCCCGACGGGCCTCCTCCGGACAGCCTCGTGGGCCCCCCTGTCAGTCGCGCGTGAGAGTGGGAGAGAGATGGAGAGTGGGGGTGAGAGAGACGGCGATAGACTAATTTTCTGCGATCGCGTGAGGAATTGAGTCGCCGAAACGGTCTGCAGACCGTGGCAGAGAGAGAGAGAGAGAGAGAGAGAGAGAGAGAGAGAGTGTATGCCGCAAAAGAACAAAGAAACGGAGGGGGAATATGTGGGGCAGTTGGGCGGTGGAGGGTGAGGGGCGTTGCTGCGGGGTGGAAGAGAAGCTCAATAGTGCTTGCCTCACGCAGGTTATGCCGTCACAACAGCTTGTTGAAGAGCCAAACGCCCCTGTCACGATAATCTCAATTTTCAATTATGTGTTTCCGTTATGTTTTGTTAGATAATTAGATGAAATTGAGTCGCTGTTCCGCCCGGCTGACGCTCCTCTCGTCTCGTTCGTTTTCCAGGTGCGGGGAGCGTTCTTCTCGCTCGGCGCGTCTCCTCCTGCGATGCGCAGCTAGCGGCCGACGACAGCCCGCCACGCCCGGCCACGCCTCCCACGAGCCGTTGCACAAGTACGTTGGGGGAGAACGCATCGCGCGCAGACTGTCGCCGAAATGAGTTTTGCCGCTCGGGAGGGTCGGCGCCGCCGGGGCGCCACGGCGCCTGTAGCGGCACGGCGCCTGTAGCGGCACCGGAGTGTAATGCAATAATGAGAGATTAATCCCCGCAGCGCGACAACGAGGTTAGGTGTCCCCCGGCGCGCCGCGCCACGCGCCGCCTCGCCACGCGCAGCAGCCACGGTCAGGGGAAAAACTAACAACAAAGTTAGTCCGCGCTGGTCGTCTTTGCTCGTAACACACGGATCTTTATATCCTTAGGCGAGGAAAAAGTTGAGGCGCACGCGGAAAAAAACATACACCGCCAGTTGCGCTTATATATTTTAACACTACAAGGAAACTTTCTTATCTCATGTGTTGTTGCCCGACACGGCCGCCGCGCGCGGCCAGTTTTGAAGCGGTTCGACAGCCTATCTCTCCGTCGCCGGCGTCGTTCGCGCGCCGTACGATTGCCTTTGGGCAGGTCGGAAACACACTGCCACAATAACTGCACGCTTCATTTTGCAGCTCAGAACATATGTGCCAGTTTCGTAATTTTTTTTAACATTTTGGTATTGGATTCGGTATAATGAAACGATCCAGCAATTTGCCTCAGGATAAGACAGCTTCCTCAGCTTTACCGAAATCACTTTAATTGTTTGGCGCATTAGGACAAGTAAATTTACTCGATTCCAGGACGGGCTTGTGCGTGGTTATCCTTGGCTGACCCACTGGCGCTACGCGCGCGCGGCGATACGGACGTCCCGGATGTGACGCGTGATTGGACACTCTCGCAAAGTGAAACATTCGCGTGTAGGGCCGTGCTGTCGGATAGGCGAGCAACAAGCTCCGCTTTCTCGCCCGCCCACCCGCCTCGAACCAAATCGCGCAAATGGAGCAAAGTGGGTGCCACCCAGCAACCTCTGCATTGATAACATTTTTACGACCGCGACGAGTGATAATCTTTACGAGCGTGTGTTCGACAGCTGATTGAAAAGATTTTTTTGTTTTTGTTTTTTATTTTTCTTGGCATGTTGGTTTGCAATCGAATGCAGGTACTTTTCCGCGCGCTCGTGTTTTTTGACGCAGAGAGCTTTCCGCTGAAGGGTTTGCCCTCGTCGGCCCTCGGGGCCTGCCTCTCTTCGCTTCGCGCTCCTTTTTTCGCACATTCCCCCGCCCGCACCCCTCCCGGCACATCGTACAAGCAGAGCACACCATACGGACTGGCCCCGCGCCACGCCGCTCTGCGCCACGCAGCCCGAGCGGAAGGCTATTGATTCGGTCAGCCTTCACATAAACGCCTTAGATCGTTTGGGCGGCCGGGCCGGGGCCAGTGCGACCGGCATTGCATGCCCAGGGGCAGCTCGGGCGACGCCTAGGACGGCCAGAGGGACATCTCTGATCCTCCTGGCGGGCTCGGGACCCACCCCATCTACGGTTCGATGGTGTTTGAGGAGCGTATGACGAGTAAAAATATATCTCCCTCGCCTGAAAGTGACCTTACCGTGCGTGGCTATATTTTTGGATTCCCAACTCGTCCTTCTGCCCCCTTATGCAGATGGTAACTTTCATCGTTTGGGAAATTCTTTCTCGAATATCTGCGCCGTTTCCCTGGAAGGCCCCGAAAAAAGGTCCCTGCGTCCGCCATGCCACATGTGTGGCTAGGGCGGGAGGGCGAGGGCTGCGGAGAGGGGGAGGGAGCAGGCATCAAGACGACAGCAATCACATCGCCTGGTCCTCGTAGCCGAAAGGCCACTGTGGCCAACTTTTCGCCAAGTTGGTAGCGCCGACGGTCTACCGGCGCAAGGCAAGAGGTGTGTCTGGGCCGGCCTGGCTTTGCGGGAGCGGACTAGCAGTAGTAGTGGTTAGTTCGTGGCGCTTGTAGCCGTGTCGTTGCTCGAAGTTGAAGGTCGTCGGCGACGACGGTCTTTCTCGTCCCCGAGTCCTTCGAGTCGTCGTGTCCTCGAAACTGTGCGCTGTCGGACTGTTGGTGTGTTGGTTGGGGCCGGCGTTGTCGTTTCGGAAAAGTAAAACCTCTTGAGGAATGCAGGAAATAAGCTACAGTACGCTTTACGTGTGACCAAAAAACTTTCCCTTAGCGGCCTTCTCCTTCGCATTCTTCGTATATCCGCAACAAGTGTGGTTACTTTCATGCCAGAGGGAGAGATGTTTATGCGTCTTTCGTTGTCAAACTTTCAGCATCATTAACCGGTCCGCTCGCCATATAAAAGCGCCAGAGGGCAGTTGCAGTATGCCCTGGCCTTTTCCTTTCGTTATGCATACTTCAAGCCGTTTCAAAGTTTGTGCGTTACGATACGGGGCGCACACGCACGCACGCTCGCCCACCTCGACCCTGTCGTCCACCCGCGCTCGTGTCCTGCGACCGCGTCCTGCTCTGCGCCCGAGATGCGGCCGGTGGCAGAGCAGGATAATGTCTGTTTACTCTGGGCGCCAGATCGGATCATCCCGCGGCCCGCCCCGTCGTCCGGCCCAGCTGTACGAGGGCTTCCCTCGTCCCTGCCACCGTGCCGCTGCACCGCCGAGGCAGGAGGAGCCGATTGGATTACGGCCAGCAGCGGCAGCAGCAGTTTCCCAGAGTAAAGAGAGCGAGGCGAAAGAAAACCCCCCGCGAGTGTCGGCCAGCCCTCCCTGCTCCGCGGCCGCGCGTTGGCCCCCGGGGTCCTCGGCGATCACCATCCCCAGCCCCC